GCACTTTAGGAGGCTGAGGTGGGTGGATCACCTGAGGTCACGGAGTTAGCAGACCAGCCCTGGCACAACATGGTGGATCCATTCTCTACTAATTACAAAAATTAGCGGGGTATGGTGGCGCACACCTGTAATCCCAGCTACTCGGGAGACTGAGGCGGGAGAAACACTTGAAGCCAGGAGGTGGAGGTTTCAGTGAGCTAAGGTTGTGCCACTGCACTCTAGCCTGGGTGACAGAGTGAGACTCTGTCTCAAAAAAAAAGAAGAGTGAAGCATTCAGAAGGGCATAGCAAGGTGGCTTCGGATTCTTGAGAAAGCACCCAGACCAGCCTGGGTGCATATCTCCACATGATTTATGCCAAATGGAAGCATAGTTGCTTTGTTGTCCTTTCTTACAGAATGTACCTGAAACATGGGAGCCCAGTTAAAATGATGGAGAGTTATATTGCAGTTCTCACAAAGGGGATATGCCAGAGTGAAGAAAATGGCTCTTTCCTTAGTAAGGATTTTGATGTCCGAAAGGCCTACCTGGCTGGCTCCATCAAAGGTAAGAAGGGAAAAAACAAAACCCATCCAACGACAAAATCCCCAAGCCAAGAACAGTCTCATTAGATCCTATTGTTCCTACTAGAGTAATCAGATAATTAGATTATCTAATTAGAATTATCTAATGACTAGATAATTCTAATCCTTCCATACGTTATTTTCATTTACATAATATTTTTCATATCATTTGTACACAAGAGGGTAACTTTAACCCCTGTATTTCCTTATTGAGTTAGAATTCTCTCACAGGAAAACAGGTTTTTGTGGTGTTTGTTTCCATATTATTCTATTGGCTATTTTAGAAATGTTTTCTCACTGGTAAGCTCAATTTTGTGGCTCGAGGTCTTCATGGATTACATTTCTTTTCTTAGATCTTAGCAGTTATCTCTGTCATCTGAAGAGCCCAAGTCCTTGACCCCAAGCTCCTAATTTAAGTTCCAGCTGGAAAATCCAAAATGCAGACAGCCCAGGCCTAAGCCACAGACTTCAGTGTCCCTGAGCAGGAGGCGAGGGGATCTCTGAAGGCGAGGCTGCTCTCTGTCATGTCCCCCCACAGTGCCCATCTGTCTTTTCTTTTGATCCCACTGTTCTTTGAGTTTTCTCAGCATCCCTGTTGAGGTGTTAGCTGTTTGTCAGGCTAACTTAAGGACTTAAGTAATGATACTGGGGGACATGATGGAGTTAGTGGACTTACTTTTTTTCCTTTTGAGACAAGGTCTTGCTTTGTCACTGAGGCTGAAGTGCAGTGGTGGTACAATGACGGCTCACTGTAACCTCAACTTCCTGGACTCAAGCAATCCTTCCACCTCAGCCTCCCGAGTAGCCCTGCCCAGCGCCAGAGTGAAGAAAATGGCTCTTTCCTTAGTAAGGATTTTGATGTCCGAAAGGCCTACCTGGCTGGCTCCATCAAAGGTAAGAAGGGAAAAAACAAAACCCATCCAACGACAAAATCCCCAAGCCAAGAACAGTCTCATTAGATCCTATTGTTCCTACTAGAGTAATCAGATAATTAGATTATCTAATTAGAATTATCTAATGACTAGATAATTCTAATCCTTCCATACGTTATTTTCATTTACATAATATTTTTCATATCATTTGTACACAAGAGGGTAACTTTAACCCCTGTATTTCCTTATTGAGTTAGAATTCTCTCACAGGAAAACAGGTTTTTGTGGTGTTTGTTTCCATATTATTCTATTGGCTATTTTAGAAATGTTTTCTCACTGGTAAGCTCAATTTTGTGGCTCGAGGTCTTCATGGATTACATTTCTTTTCTTAGATCTTAGCAGTTATCTCTGTCATCTGAAGAGCCCAAGTCCTTGACCCCAAGCTCCTAATTTAAGTTCCAGCTGGAAAATCCAAAATGCAGACAGCCCAGGCCTAAGCCACAGACTTCAGTGTCCCTGAGCAGGAGGCGAGGGGATCTCTGAAGGCGAGGCTGCTCTCTGTC